GATGGAGACCAAGGATGTTATATGTACAATAAGGTTCATGATGGAGACCAAGGATGTTATATGTACAATAAGGTTCATGATGGAGACCAAGGATGTTATATGTACAATAAGGTTCATGATGGAGATCAAGCTTTCTTGCCAATTTGGCTCTTCTGTTGCTTACAAAGGACGAGACTGACTTTAACAGCAAAGTTGTTCCTGCATCCGATCCAGACATTGGGGATTGCCTTGTTAGTGAGACAACTTCCTGGGCCTTCGGCATATTGTGATAGGGTGGCCAGTTCCTTTCCACGCCGCCTTTACTTCTCCAACTCGAAGTCAGGTACCCATTACTGCTGGGTGGGCAGGAGGGGGTGAAAAGATCCGCGTCCGAACCGAGGCTCGAACCCGGACTGTCCCCTTTGGAGATGAGCGCACTAACTACTGCACCACCGCACCCTCACGTCAGCAGTAGGGGCCTACATCTTATAATTTCATCAGTACTATTCATCATATGTCAGTCATGTAAGAAAGTAGCAAGCAATCTGTAATAATCATACTGAATAGAGGGACATAACTCTTCCAGGTAGTAACCTATTGATTATCATGATTGTGTCCCTTTTAGCCACTTGTCTATTGTGTAACTCTTCTGAATATTGGGATAGACAATCAAAGTCAATCTATTAGTGACTAAACCCCCTTGCCCCGACAATGTCATGCTCATAACTGTGCCTGATCTACAACAGGGAACTGCTGCTTTTTTCCCCCTCATCCTTACTATCGTCATTTTCCTCTACTTCTTTTGTATGTTTGTCACACTCTTGTGACCCGCTTTTTAAGGGGTGCCTCGATAGTCAAAGCAGACTTTGTGCTGTTGAAGCTAGAGAGGTGAGCAGAGTAAGTCTGATTCCCTGTAAGGATTCTGTGTTGACACCCACCCCTTGGCGCTCATATGACCTTACGCAGTTGCGAGCGCCGTAAAACCTCTACTACAACAAACAGACTTTCTGCTGGACCGTCGTATCTCTCTCATCCCCGGCTGTTGACAAGCAGGATCGAAGCCCGCTTCCTAGATGATCTTAATTGTGCCAATGTGGGTGTAAAAACACGTAGCCTACATTGAATACAGTATGTCAGTTAGTGGTTATTCAGTGTTTAAGTTTAAGGCCATAGGCTCACACCACGTCATAAATCACACCTTTTACTACACTGAATACAATAAACGGCACCCCCCTGCTGACCCAAGCTCTCCGGCTGGCGACAGAGAGACGCCTCTTTCTTCCCGCGACACCCAAGAGGGTATAAGCGGCGTATAAAAGTAAAAGTAAAGTAAGAATACAATAAATAAGTTAGTGTTTATTCCGTGTTGAAAGCCACGGGCCCACATCACATCACATAAGACACACATTTTACTACATTGTATACAATAGGCCTAAGTAAGGAAATGTTTATTTAGTGTTTAAGGTCATTGGTCCACTTCACGTCATAAATCCCACATTTGACTACATTGAATTGAATAAAGTATTATCAGTAAAACTCTCTAGTATTATGTGTAACAACCATTATAATTATAATAATAGTAATAATAATAATAATAATAATAATAATAATAATAAATGCCGTATTACCTGTAGTGCCACTTTTCTCCAATGGTGGGGTAGCTCGCTGCTCCAACACAGGCCAGGAGAACTGCCAGCAGCAGCAATGCCGGGCTTATCACGGGAGCTTTCATCTTCGCTTCAGGCTATATAGTTGGACAAGTGCTTTGAAGTAAAAAAAAAAAAAAAAAGAAAAGAATTTATCCTGTTCATTCACGTAAAACTATGTTTTGTTTGCTTTAGTAAGGTTTTACTGCACTCGCAAATGCATAAAGTCATATGAGCGTCAAGGAGTAGATATCAACAGAGAAGTCCTAACGGGGAATCAGATTTACTCTGCTCACCTCTCTAGCTTCAACAGCGCAAAGTCTGCTTCGACTATCAAGGCACGCTGGAAATAATAGTTCACAAGAGAGTGACAAACATACAAAAGAAGTAGAGGAAAAAGGGCGATAGTAAGGATGAGGAAAGAAAAAGCAGCGGGTTCCCCCTATGTTGTTCCGGCACAGTATGAGCATGACATTGATAAATCAGCCCATTTACAATTCTACTGTGCGTGAGAACATGCTAATGTCCCACCTTTGGGAATGGCCTAAAGACACTTCAGTCAGTGGCACTGCCATGGAAGTAGTAGAAAATTCTTTGGTAGCCTTGCTACGGAAGTAGTAGAAAATCTTTTGTAGCCCTGCCATGGAAGTAGCAGAAAATCTTTGGCGTTACCAGCTGCGCTGTCACAATGCGTGCCTTTGTATCCCGCGCTCAGTGGTGACGTCACCCAACTCGGCGGATTGAGCGGCGATCGCCCCAAGGACCTTACAACAAACCTTATTGTATAACCTCCTTGGATTGGCCTCTAAGGGAAAAATCCCGCATGAAGCATGGAGACCAAGGAGGTTATATGTACAATAAGGTTCTTGATGGAGACCAAGGAGGTTATATGTACAATAAGGTTCTTGATGGAGACCAAGGAGGTTATATGTACAATAAGGTTCTTGATGGAGAC